CTCAAAGAAGGGATATGAACATAGGGAAGCTGACTTCCAATCTGATACATATCCCTTTATAGTTTGTACATTATTCCCCTCAGAGAAACGAACCAGAAGGTTTTCGGTTTTCATTTCTAAAACAGTTCTGATTCTATGCTGACTCCTCTGCTGGTTTAATTAGACCTGAGAAGAATAAGGTTGGTGATAAGTATGCACTTGGAGGTTCCTTCTAGGGACAGAGGAAGAACCCTGCTGACCTGCCTGGTATGCAATCTCTTCAGAAATAGGAAGCAAGCACAAACACAAATTGTGCAGATTAAAGCGACAGAACAGGATCACAGTCCTGTACTAATTCATTGACAGATATAAGTGGGAATTTTTAAATGCTAAAAGTAAAAATCATTTAAATAAGAAAGGCAATAAAAGTTACTGATATTAACATGGCCATGGATGACAACTTAAATTATAACAGTTAGAATGTTTAATGATCTTTACCAAATTTTGAAAATGGAAGATATTTTAAAGATTTATGTTCTAAGACAAAGTAGGTAGAAATCTTGAAGATATAGGGGTAGGCAAAGAGTTCATGAACAAAACGGCAACTGCACAGGAAGAACTTTCTAGAATCAATAACTGGGATCACTTCTTATTAAAAAGTTTTTGTACTTCAAAAGAAATTACCAACAGAGTAAAGAGAAACCCCACAGCATGGGAAAGAATTTTAACTAGCTGTCCCTCAGGACTTACATCTAGAACATACAAGGAACTGAAAAACATCAGCCCCCCCCCCCAAATTCAAACACCCAATCCAAAAATGGGCATTTGAAATGAACATGCATTTCTCAGATGAAGAAATACAAATGACAAATAAATACATGAAGACATGCTCAACATCACTGGTCATTTAAGAAATGCAAATTGAAACAACATTGAGATTCCATCTCACTCCAGAGAGAATGGCTGCCATCAAGAACCCAACCAATACCAAATGTTAGCAGGGTTGTGGGGAAAAAGGAACCCTTCTCCTCTGCAGGTGGGAGTGTAGACTAGTGCAAACACTGTGGAAATCAGTGTGGAGATTCCTCAAAAAATTAGGATTAGAAGCTTTATTTAATCCAGCTATTCCCCTTCTGGGTACTTTTCCAGAAAAATTGAAAATGTCATGCTACAGTGATATATGTGCACCTATGTTTATAGCAGCATAATTTGTAATAGCTAAATCTTGGAAACAACCAAATGCCCTTCAAATGCAGAATGGATAAAAAAGACGTGTTATTTTTGTATGATGTAATATTACTAAGCTATAAAAAAGGATAATCTTGAGGCTTTTTACAGGTAAATGGAAGTAACTTGAGACCATACACATAAGTAAAGTAAATCAAACTCACATTTATAAGTATCATATTGTCTCCTTAGTAAAAAAATAACAAAAAATAAAATTCTGAAAGAGTAATAAGATCCAAAATATACAATAGATATTGTAATAATGAAAGAGAAAGAAAGTGCTTCAAAGGACAGAGCTACTGGGATAGGGGAAAGGAAAAAAAAAGAAGAAAGGAAAAGATTATATGTATGTGGGTAAACATATAAATGTATGTATGGATATGTATACTAGATAGATAATTATATTACTATTAGTAATTATATTACTAATCTCTCTTAGTTGATCAAAAAGGACAGTTTGTGCTGTCCTTTTTGATCACTTTTGCATACAGATTTTATAACCTGAACAACTAATTCTGAGCTAACAATATATTAACTAGTGTTAATTCTCTACTTTTTATTTCTTTTTTGAAATTCTGCATCATTTCTATCCCTTTTTGCTTTTTAAAATAAATAAATAAACAAATAAAGGAGATTTATATTTCAATAGCAATTAAAATAGTCCTCCTTTTGTTAAAGAACAAAGCAAAATAAAACAAAAGCAAACATAAACAATGCATCCAGTCCCCAAATGAAGAGTTTGTCTGTAATGCTATAAGAACCATGTGGATACAGATGAAGGTTCAGAAACAGCCCTGCAGGAAGCCATTCTGATTCTAAGGATAGGCCCTGAGTTTTAGCAGACACCCACTTTTCTCAGGCATCCTAGTTCTAGTGTCAACAGAATGTGGTTGAGAAACATTAGGTTTAAACAAGAATCCTACAGATCAAAAAACAAAAGCCAAGACGATAATTAATCTTTAACATTTGTTTATAGAAAGCAAACAATTAATTACATAAAATGATAACAATGAAATATTTAGTACCAGGGAATAAAAAGGAAAAATCAAGAAAAAGTAAATTACAAATTTGGTTATAAGACACTGGTTCAGAAGAACTAAGTAAACAGAAAATAGGTTACTGAATAGATATTTAAGATGATGCAGTCACAAAATCTTCTCACTTGAAAACGCAAGACAGATAATGTTTTATTCTATTCTACACAGAAGAAACTGCAAAGCTGTAAACAATAAGTACTTTTAAAATTATCAGTGGTTTCTTCATTTTCTTAGTGTTTCATTGCAAACCATCACAAATTCTATTCGGAAGCTGATAAGGTATAAAACTGATTACTTAAGATAATATAAAGGGGGGAAAGAGATGTGCGCCTATATGCATTGCTATCTATCCCACCTCCTCTTCACAAACTGATTTGAGTTCCACAGCAGTGGAACTGCATCCTATCTCCCTGGGGTCAGGGAACACTACACACTACAATGGGCAGTCTACATTGAAATCTGTCATACACGTACTATACATCCTTGGCTTAATGCTAATACTGGTCCAAGTGGATTTCATCTGGTAGGTACTGTCAAGAGGTTTCAGGGAGCAAGTCTGATTATGGCTGGAAACACATTTCTGTTCCCCAAGAGGGCGCCACAAATATTTCTGTTCAGTTAGAACATGAACATTCTACTTGAATGTTGTAGGCAGAAACCTTCTATTCTGGGAGGAATTCTTTTACGTATTTTAATTTTTTCTAGTGAAAAAAAATCTGTAAAGTATAGCAAAATACAACTACAATGAAGTTATTAAAATGTAAGCCACCTGAAATTTCACACATGAAGTAAAATAAATATTTCCTTCTAATAATGTAAATTGTTTGAGATGAATTATAAACAAATATATTGTAACTTAAAATGTAGATAACCCTATCAATTAACATTTCTTCTTAACAAATTTTAAAATGCATAAATGAGACTTATAAAACAGGTATTTTTAAATATTTTGAGTATTTTTAAATATTTTGCTACTATATAAAAAATCTATTTAAAAAATGATCTAACCAGTTTTTAACCTTTATATTAGGATTTGACCAAACTATAACAAACACATAAGAATCTCTAACATGACAATGGTTTGAAAATATTACCTAGCAGGTTCACAGTATCCTACCAAGTGAGTGCGGTTGTAAGGATACAATTCATTTGGACAAGAAATTGCTTTCAAAGTTATAAATTACTTCATTGCCTGGGGGGGAGGAGGGGGAGACAGATGCTGGCTTTTACTTTTACTCACACTGCAAGGGATATGAAAAACAAGGTATGAAATAAACTATTTAAATTTTGCATTGTAGCATTCTAAAATGTCAGAAGGTGATCCAAATTTTATAAAGAGAATCAGTAGCTATACTTCAAGATTTCTTTGAAAAAACCAGTTTTCCAAAGCAATACATAATCCAATGGTTTTTGTTTCAGTATGTGGAAACATTCTAATCAGGAGAAAAATAAATTAAGAGTAATTTATGGAACTGAAAGGAAAACTAGAATTAAAGAAAGGGTGGTGGTATACAAACGGTGGTGAAGAATACAAAGAAAGGCAATAGAAATTGTGGCACAGACGCTAGCTGTAGGACAGAATGCCTGTGAGAAGGAAGACTGTGTTACCCATCATGCAAGGTAAGTATAAAAGAGTGATGAGCAGTTGCCGTTCAGGTGAACAATAAGTAGTCTGTGATCAATTAGGTTTCTAGCCAAGAATATCTAAGTATTAGTAATGGTCACTTACCAATTTGTTAATTTATTCAGCAACCCCTCAGCTAAGCACCTGGCCTCTAAAGAGCTTACAATAGGAGAGAACAGATAGGAAACAGTGTGATAATTGCTGAAACAAGGTAAATACAGGCATTGTGGAAGCAGAAAGGCCTCCATGTGGCCCTGAGGAAGCAGCTGGCTTAGCTTCCTAGTGGCAAGGGAGAAACTAAAGTGAAGCACATGCAAAAACAAACAGGCTTGACAAGGGGGACATGCATGAATCAGCCTGGAGTATTAGGTGTGCTTGGCAGTTCAAGAGGACTAAACCTCAAGGTGTGAGAAGGGATTAGGGATGAAGAGTGGAAAGCACAGAGGTCAGTTCTCCAAGTGCCTTTACTCACTATTCCCACAAAAGAAGTGTAAGATGTGTCTAAAATGTGCCAGGAACTATTCTAGCTACTGGCCCTCCAACACTGGGAAAAGAGAGTTGAGGTACCCATTTCCATGGAATGAACAAATACTTATATAACACATAGATGATATTAGACTATGCTGAAGCACATTATATTATGCATCATTTTGAAATGGTGGGTGGACATTTATGGTTTGCAGTATTGAAGAAATAGCTTACTCTCTGAAGATAACAATTCCACAGAGATTATAAGGGAAACATTCTATACATTGGAAGTATTCAAGAGAAAGTATCTATGTTCTTTCCTACCAATGATATGAAATGTTCCTGATGTGTAATAAGGAAGTAACAAGAAAGTTGTATCACTGATAGTGTGTCAGCTTTCAACTCTGAAATTATTGGGGTCATCTTTCTTCCCAAAGTGACATAATATGTTATTTTTCTTAATTCAAGAATGTGAGGGACCATATACTTCAGCTAGAATCTTTGATTTCAGGCTCTACCATCACATAGCAAAATTAGTACCCAGTCTTCCTGTTATTCTATTTATTCAGTCCCGTTATGACACTACTAGCAAAGTATCAGGATGCATGAATAAATCAGAGAGCCAAACCTGCTCATGTCTGAAGAATATTTTGCTTCTCTTTCAGCCTGGAAAGTCTCTGCCCAGGTCTCTGCATGGTGTAAATCTCAGGCCCAGTTTGGCTCTGATAATCCGTCTTCAGAGAAGCCCTTTGTGATGAGTCAGTTCAAAGAAACTTCCCTGTGGGAATCCGTACCCACATTAGTTGTCGCCTTGTGAACACTTACCATTAGCTTTACTCATTTTGCTTAGTGTTTGTTTTAGGTTGACATTCCTAAGCCACAGGCATGCACAATAAATGATGATGCTTATGGTGTGTCTCTTACTCTTACTCTTCTTTTTCACCATTGTGAAAGCACTTACAATGGCCTCTTACATATCCTGAAAATTTTAACAAATAACTAACCAATGAATGAGTATTCAGAAAGTTCACTCTACTGAATGGCAACAGGTACTTGATTGTAAAGTGACACATATGATAGGCTTCTCAAAGAAGAAAGAAGCCATTATTTGAGGAGTTTGTGTGGAAGACTTCAAGAAACAGTACCTCTATAACCATGGGCCAGGTAAGTGGAAGAAGAAAAGCATTGTAAACTCCTAGTATAAAACTAGGTCATTTGTGGATTTGGGGGGGGGGGGGGGGAACAAGAAGTCATCAAGAAGCACACCCTCCCTGTGAACCAGCACCATGCATGCGCTGCCACCACCAGCGGCACAGCTAGACCCCAGCCTTTTCCCATGAATCAGCACCTTTCTCAGACTACAGGGGAAGAGAACAGAAGTCACCAAGAAGCAAGGCTTCTCTGCAAATCAGCGCCATGCGTGGGCCGCTGAGGGGGACAGCCAGACCCCAGGCTTTTCCCATGAGTCAGTGCCATTTGCGGACCATGGGAGAAGAAAAGTCACTAAGAATCAAGTCCTCCCTGAGAATTAGTACCATGTGTGGGCAGCTAGGGGGACAGCCAGACCCCAGCCCCCTTCTGGCACATGGGCTGGGAAGCAAGAAGAGCCAACTCTCCCCCCCAAATGACTAGCTGATCTGGAGAAACACAGGCTGCGCTGACAACTGAGGTGAAATGCAATTTGATGCTTGTGGTGGCTGGTATTTCCCTGACTTTGCAGGTCAAGGGTTGGTGGTCTGATCATCTATTCAGAGAACAATAGTATGCAGTATGCCATCTATGGGAGATCTCCTTCTGAAGGTGGTAACCATTGTTAATTCCCTATTATCTTATTTTGAACTCCTGTATCACTTTCATTGTTTTGTTGGGTTAGGTTTCATTTTGTTTTGTTTTGTTTGATACTGTTATACCGATGGATGGGCAGCTATTTCAAAGACAGCAAGATACATTATGGTAGCCATTTTGGATTTACTATTATCTTGTTTTGAAGTCCTTTACTGCATTCATTGTTTTATTTTTATTGATTCTATTCTGCTCTGTTCTGTTTGATTTTTACTATGTCTGAAGGTATGTGCAGCTATTTTTCAGATAATAATAGGCATTGTGGTAACCACTGCTGATTTCGTATTGTTTTGAAATGCTGTGTCACTTCTACTAGTTTGTTTCAATTGGCGTACTTTTATTTTGCTTGGTTTTATTCTATTTAAAATTTTAAAAAAAGTAAAGTAGCCATTTTTTTCACTCAAGAGTACTCTCATCACAAGGCACTACTTACTAAATGCCCATGATATGCCAAAAGCAGAGGTCTACATATGAAGCCTCACCAAACCCTAAAGTTTCATATACTTTTTATGGAAAATACATGGGGCTCAGAGAGTTTAGAATATCTGCCCAACTGTAAAAATTGTGTTGTTCTGCATTCTTCCCTTATATACTAGAATCCATCTTCAAATTGTTCTGTGGGTAAAATAGGAACTGTCGATGTCATGCAGGGAATTCACTAATTAGATACTTACTACATAAATATCTACATTTTATACAAACAGACATTTTCAGGTTCTCAATCTATTAAGAATAACAGATTGCAACCATCTCCTGTTTATTCTAAGAACAATGTCAAAAATCAATCCCTCATCTAGAATCATCTATTAGGCAGCTATGGAAAGAGGACAAGTCTCTCCAAAAAACTGTAAATTAATACAATTAATATCACACTTGCTGAATAAACTGGCCTCAAGTCAAAGCATCACCCAGGAGTTGCAGAAGATTTTGGGGTATATAAAAGTTTTGGCATGGCGCTGGAATTGTTGTGACTACAGGAATTGTTGTGACTACATCAACAAGATAAACCCATTCAATACTCACAGCATCCAAGAGCCAGGACTGAGGCTTAAAAAAGGATATGGTCCTGAACTTGGACAGATAAAGACGTCACTTAAAATCAACACCATTCATTTGTTCTGGCTTTAAACTCAGCAAAGCAACATTATGATTATGATATGGCCTCACAGGTAGCTTTTTTGTAAAACATGTTGACTGTTGACACAAGTGTTCCAGTCTATTTGACTGTAACATTTCTCAACTTAAAAGAGAAACACTTCCATTTATATAACTGTCTTACAATCTTTAGTGATTGTGACTTTATTAGATTATCTGTGGTTATTGATAAAGGTCACTTTTAAAGAACTGCCTTCCTCTTGGAAACAAACCTGAGAATCAGATGGAAGCAGACCCCTTCGGCAGCCTTGCCTTGGAATTCTCCACAGGAGTACTAATGCATTCCCACACGCCCTTTCTTCTAGCAGAACACATTCGTTCCTTGCCTTCCAGTCACTGTTCCAAACTAAAACACACCAACTTTACCGCTCTCTCATGTCACAACTGCACCTACTGCCTTTACCACTACACCAACTACAGCTGGTTTCATATGAAAGTATGGTCACTGTGTTTGCACAATAGAATGAGAAAATGGGAAAGTAAGTAATGAAATCTGATAGACAGTTGCAGTTTTATATTTTGTTTTAAAAACATAAAATGAATACAGTTTTGAGACCAAGACTAGAGAGGTTTTAGTTTAAGAGGCTCTATCTAAATCAAAATCTCAATCAATAAAGCAAATGGCTGACAAAAACCTTATTATCATCCCAGAATATATGATGGTTAAGAGTCAAGTCTCTGTTGTCCATCCTGTCAGAGTGGGATAGGTCCCACTCTGACAATTACACCCCGATTCTTTTCGCTTTGCTTCCAACCCTCAAGCCAACAGATCACCAAGATCACGTTCTCTCCACGCAGCCTCTTTTCCACTCAGAAGCCAGAGTACTTTTCTAAAAAAATCAATCAATATAGGCTTCTTTCTTACTTACAGTGCTTCAGTGGCTTTCTACTGGAGCCAGAAGAGAAATCACCCAACTCCTGTGGCTCCCTCTCTGTCCCCTAACCCCTCTGCCTCTACCAACCTCTGCCCTGCCTTCTCTCTACTTCCCCTACTTCTGTGGCCTCCAGACTCTGCTGGTCTTCTTCACTTCCTTAGTAACTCAAAACCTGACTATATTCTATTTCACTTATACTACTCCAGCCCTACCACCTACCAGGAACTCTTAACCTGTCAGACCATTCTTCCCGGATGGTTCCATATGCTGTTCTAGGCTTATAATCTTCTTTCCATGACTCTGGTCTTGAGTTTCTGTGAATTTCTGTTCAAAAGTTACTTCCTAACAACTTTCAGGACAGATGTGATGTTTTCATTATTTTGATTATCTTATTCAAAACATATGTTTAATATGGTATTTTATTGTCTTTAACTATGCCTCAGTATAACTGTTCCTTAAAGGCATTTTCTTAGATTTTTTCCAACCTTGGATGTTCAGTAGTGCTAGCCCTGATATCCTTCCCTCAAATATAGTTGTCTATGTTGTTTCTCCTTTTAGTTCTCACACCAATATGGCATTACAATGTACACTGAATAGCTAACATGCTTTTTATCTATATCCTTCCTAAAGCTAGAATATGTCTCTAGAGTCCAGAACAGTGGCTGCTGTCCAGAGACCATTCTATAAATACTTGGTAAATAAATGGATGTGTGACTTTGGGCCAGGCCTGAACATAAAGCTCCCTGTGCTTATGAAACCAGACAGAACAGCATGTGGGGTTGTGCTCAAGATGAAAGGAATAAATGCCAAAGGGCAGAACATACAGGGTCTGCCACACCTACTGTAAAACACATTAGCTACCAATAGTTCAAATTTTAGGAAATTCAATGCTAAGTCTTCTAGTCTTTTTGCTTTTAATGAGTTAGTCATTACTTGAAAATGATCAAATATTTTCTCTTTCTCTGCCTCCTAGGCTTATGATACTTAATAGTTGATTCTCATTAGTAAGAACGGATAGGTGCATCACTTTTGAATAGTGCCACCTAGGAAAACTCCTTACTTCTTGTGATTATAATAGCAATACTTCATGGGCTGTCAGGGATCATGAATGTACATTTTTTAAACTTTTTACCCTAATATGTTTTCATAAAATTAGTTTAATGAGAAAGTTTTCCAGCATTATACTATTATGCTTGCTCTTTCTCCCTTTCTCCCCTCTTGCTCTCTGTCTGTCTCTCTCTCGCTCTCTGTCAGATCCTCTACTGTATAACTGCACCACTGTTCAATTATCCCTTTTCTATTAATAATTGCAAAAATGATGCTCTGGCATTTATTTTATATTATCTTTATTCAGTGAGTTTATTTTGAACATTAATAACTGTTAAGAAAACAACCTACGAAAATGAACCAAAGGTAACAAATCTCCAAACAACAGTTAATATTAAAGATGAAATAAATCTGCAGATATGGAGCTCAATAATAAGGGAAATAAAAAAAACCAGAAAATCAAACACTCATATAAAAATGCCAAGGTTTTAAGGATTTTCTGGTAGTTAAATAATTATAGGGAAGCTATGATAATCATGAAGGTTGAGCTATCATAACTTTCACACCCAGGCACCCAATCAATGAGAAGACAAAGTGACCAAGAGGAGAGTTGTCGACAGTTAATTTATTGAGAACTCATATTATACATGACATGTACACAGTGTTGGAGTATGCTCATTTCTGTACAACCCCTGTGCAGAACTGTTTAGGCAAATCAAGAGTGGCAGTGATGACCACAGCTTGCCGAGTTGAGAATCCATGGAAGACGAAAGAAAGGGTGGCACTGGGCCACACTAGAAATGTGAATTACTCCTTCACTGTCCCTGCCTTGCAGGGATTTTCATTGTTCACAAGTAATTGGTGCACTGAACTTTTCCTGCTTAGCTCTATTTAAAATGTCTATATCACATAGAAAAAAGTAAAACTGGGCAAATTTGAACATTTGGTGGTATCTGAGAATCATAGTAGCTATGAGGTTACCTAAATAAA